TGGTCTTTTTGATACCATGTTATAAAACTTTATAGGTCAATAAGACCACCACCACCATCCCATGGCAATACCCTCATTCCTTAACCTCTTATTTTCTTCACCCATTATTTAAGACCTTATCTCTCCAAACCATGTCAACCCTATCTCAACCATTTTATGGCTTATGGCAAACAACTTGCTCTTAAGTTTCCAATAACCCGAACATTACAAAATAGCATTCCTAAGATTATTTTTAGTATGTTGATATTCGACCATCATGAAATTCGAAATCCTCTTTTTGAAATTCCATCCAATATGAATGAAGTGTATTATAATATTCACACCTAAGTGTTCAAATCGATCTTCACATGTTCGCTGCAATGTCATAGTGAACAACTTGCTCGTTTTCTAGTCAGCCGAGCATGTCAAAAAAATGCATTACTAAGATTTTTTTTTTTGAGGAAAAGCATTACTAAGATTATTTGTAGTACAAGGAGATTCGACCATGAAATCAAAAATCCATTTCAGAAATTCCACTTGATACCAAGGAATGCATAAAAATACTCATACTTGAGTGTATGACATCCACAAGATCACTATAAGACTAACTCATGGAGGAATCGTTGAAAAAACAAAAAGGACATCCATCTGCTCACGATAGAGCACCAATTAACCAATTTTATGTTGTTGCATGACACGATCCCCTGAAATGAACTTTGGCTGGAGATTGTAGACTAATTGTCAAAATACGGTGTTTTAGGCCACCCCTTATGGGTATTTGTGCAAGATAATCAGCCTTGCAAGATGCTTATGACTCCGCTCTTAGCCCAACTAAAAGTTTGACAAAGCAACAATTCCAACCGAAGTTTGACTTGTAGATGGAAGTTGTTTCCTGTCATGTTGAGCAAGTTTTTTACATCTGTCCAAATGTCTAGTTAGGTTTATTATTTTATACTTACTATACAATAGAAAAGAAGAAAGTTTCACACTTAATATCACTATTCATGTTTCCTTACAGCAATTGCATATTGCCCTATGACTTCTTTCCACTTATTGGACTCTGTTTGAGATGTTGCCAAAATGGAGATGTTAATTTTTTCCTCTTGTGGGATGATGGTTTGTCCAAATAAGTGATATTGTTCGTTTTTTTTGGGCAAGTGAAGTGATATTGTTTTCACCATATTGTGAGTGTGACATGTTCGTTTAAGGTGTGGTGCATAAAACAAATAGAAGTAAATTTTGACCAATTTTCACTATTCAGTGAGTGTGACATTTCATTTAGGCTGTTCTGCATAAAACAAAAGAAAGAAAATTTTAACCAATTTTAGGTTCAGAAAAGCAAGTCAGAACTATGCTAATATATCATCACATTCAGATAAAAAAGCATTAAATTAGAAAATGTGAATATGGAACATCTAAGACATTATGGACAGAGATGGAGCTAATTGAAAGTACAATAAGAAGATTCATCATCTAGGATACCATCATTACTTCATCAATGATTCACAAGTGGTGGTTGGAAATAAAACTGTCAATGGGCTATACTGAATGGCTAGGATGACAATTTTATTGATTTGAGAAGGACTATCATCAGGGGCATGTGCCATGTATCATGCAACATATCGTGAAAATCTAACAGGTGCAGCTCCAGGATCAGGTAAAAACCCTGGACTGGATGAATCACATCCAATGGTTTAGATCCAGGGCATTTAAGTGTTTTTGACGTGACCAACAACGATAAACAACAACAATAACAACACCACTACCAAGACCAAAAACAGAAACCAAAAAAAAAATAAAACAAGAAGAAGAAGAAGATAACATTTCACACCATTTCTTTGAGTGGGAAACCTCCAACCCCATAACGAAACAGCCATCGGATTAAAATGCCCCACGACCACGAGAGAGCACCCAATGTCCTCGATATCCTGGCCCAAGTTACTAAAATCTATCCCAGCTCCTTTTAGCACAATCAACCCACTAAACAACCAAAAGAAACAGAACGATTTCTTCAAAATGATCTAACTCAGAGGTCGAGTCTTTAAAAAATAGGAGCTTGCAAAACAGATGACACTAAATCGTAGTCCAGCAGTGCAACTCATTTGTTCAGAACTGCAGATCAATTGATCAAAAGTTCAAAGTGAAGCCGGCTTCAAAGTTCAGAACTTCAGATCCGTAGAGAATGAGGAACAGAGAACTGGAGATGATTGGGAACCTGAAATATGCACTTTGAAATTCAGAAACATGAAGAGAGGATCAAGACGTGCGACAGAAGGCTGAGATGGAACGGACTTGAATGCAGTCAGAGATATAAGGGTTCAGAGATGAGATAAGTTGCTTGAAATATGCCCTGTGAACCGACCCACAGGGCGAAGATTTCACAACCGGACCTCAGGCCGGACAGGCTGACCTGACCCAATGATGTCCCTAGTCGTATTTACAAAACCTAATATATATAGTTGGTTGTATGCAAGGTTTAATTTAGATGTGTCCAGGAAATGAGACAAGGTGCTTGACAAGTTCGCCAATATGCTTAGTGGACAAGGTTTTGAATTCTGCAATTTAACATTTACGTGTTGGAAGGAAGAAGTACAAATGCCTTTGAAGGCTCCTCCTTGTTCAACATCGTCGGGCTGCACGAGCTGGCTACTGGTCCTCTCCACCGCCAGGTCTGATCAATTTCAATTTCGATGGGTGCTCCCTTAGGACCCCGGCCCGGCAGGTATTGGTGGGGCTTTCAGAGACCACCAAGGGAACATTCTGGCCTCTTTCTCCAAGCACATTGGCCACGCCGACTCCCTGCTTGCGGAGTCCATGGCGCTCCTCACGGGCCTCAAAATGTTAGACCCCGAATGGGATCAACCTCTTTTAGTGGAAGGAGATGCCCATAATATCGTTACCTAGGCTGCCGGCCATGCCACCCCACCTTGATATCTTCCTTCTATTGACGATGAGATTCACAGCTTTGCAGGGATACAGCCATCTCATGGACGCAAATTTGGAGGGAATCAAACGGCCTGGTGGACCAGTTGGCTAAAGACAGAGCTCTCACACAAGTTGCGGATCCTTAGAAGTTCTCGGGACCCACGCTCGCAAGACAGCGGCCTTCTCCTTTTGTACATCTGGGTTTTTGTGGTCCTCCACCTTAGGACTTCCTTCCTTGACGGACCCCTTTCTTTGACTTTTTTGTACATCGTTGTAACGGGCATTGTTATAAACCCCTCTCATTTTTTTGTATAGGCTCACTTGACTGAGGTTAGCTTATTTTCCGAGAGGCCCAGTATGTGGGCACTCTCCCTGGACCCCTGTACTCTTTTTCCTATTTCAATACAACAGTTAACAGTATCAAAAAAAAAAACATTTACATGTCATGTGTTCTTGAGATTTTCTTAGGTATCAGTAAACATAAAAAGAGAAGCAATACATGCTACTATCCAACTCCACCTTCTTTGTAGAACCAGTTAGTTTAATGATCGTGGTCCTAGACTCTTAGTTTCAAAGATTGCTTCCTTCATTAATTTAACCTCCAAGGTTAAAGGGAATACAAAGTCTTTCAGAAATATTAGCATAAGGGGAGGCTTCTATAAGATCGTAGCCATAGTTTTAGCTATTAAAATAAGGTATTGCTATGCTAAGCTTTATTTTTATTTTTATTTTTATTTTTTTCTTTTGAAGTCAATTTTCAGCCATATTTCTCCCTTGACAACTTGCTTTTATCAAGGAAAATAGAATGTTGATGCAGGTTTGGCACCGTATGAATGTTTCAGCTACAAACATAAGAGAAGGAAGTCCGGAAAGAACATAAAATTGAAGATGGAGAACCATGTTGTCTAGAGTTGCTTGGAGACTCTTCTAAGATCATAACCCTGCTATGAAAAATATCAAAAAAGAGCAAGGTTGAACGACTCTGAAGCTTGTTTTATATGCTGGGAAGCCAAGGAAATTGTGGAAGGAACTGTTTTTGCTTACATTGTTTTTTAGCATGTAGAATTTGGAATTTCTTTGCGTTAGTCATCCCCAAATTGGTGCAAGGATTCATGCTTATTGGTATCTTTGCCTGAGAAATGTCGCCTTTTCTAGAACTAGTGTCCCTAAGCTATCTTTTTGGTTATAGGGGAAACAACAATGTATTCAAAGGATCCTCTACGGATTTCTTAAGTTGGCACTGACGGAACACAGCAAGGGTTATCTGGATTCAAATCAACAAATCTAAACTGAGATTGGAATTCATTAGTTTGAAGTGGCCCTAAGGGCCTGGCTGTCATATGGCTATGTCATGCTCAAGTTTAAAAGAACTTTGGGGGAAACCTAGAGCTGTCTTGAGTGGGTGGCTTAGTAAGTGATAGACTTAGCAGGACTTCTGTGACTTTTGGTTTGGTTAGTTTGGTTCTTCAAAAGTAGAAGTGTGAGCTCAGGACTTTTGTGACTTATGGTTGGTTGGTTTGATTCTTCAAAAATAGAAGCGTGAGCTCTACAGATAGGCCTTGAAGTTTTACGCCATTTCTTCTCAAGACTCCAATTACAAAAGAAGATCCAATCAAAATTACTAGGTGGTTCCACAGGGACACTTGGTAGCCATGCCCACTATATCTTGGTGATTTTTCCTTAGTCTATTATTATTTTTATCCCTTCTATTTATGGGCTTAATGTCCCTGGGCTTCATGCCTCTTTGCTAATTCAAACAGACATAGACCAACTCTATTGCAACTAGCATTCCAGCTTTCACTAATTCAAACCACTTTGGAATATTCAGAGATGGTAATCCAGTTTGACCATCATTGCTCTGTCAGGTAAGCCAATTAAATACTATTCAAAATGTATAGCTCCTACTGAGACTTCAATATTTGTAACAGCAGAACATGACAAATATAAAGTGCAGAAATAGAGAATGGAACAAGAAAGAAATACCATCAAACATCTTTAAATGTAAAACTCATTTTCATTATCAATAAAACCAGATGATTTTGCATTCAACTAAGACATCTAAGATATCCAATAGGTTATTCATTTATGCGTCTCACATTTTGTCACTAATCTCCTCCAGTAGGTGCATAAGTTTCTTAGCTAGTTGCTGCCTCCTGTATTCTGGAGCGACTGTCACAGCAGTTACATGACCATGCCAAGATTCACCTTGTCCTTCAACTTTACCCATAACTGGTTATGTTCCCAACAAGAAAATTTAGCTCATTAACAAGAACAAGCAATAAACAATTGCATGAACATTTAAAAAACTAAAGGCATAAATTAAAAATCAATATGGAAGAACATCAATAATGAAAACTTTCCTTTGCTAAAACTAATTCTCCACACATGAAAGAATAGAACCAGATGGCAAAGAAATATGCACAATAAAGGAACAACAAATTAGGTTCTAGAAAAAAGAACAAGTTGGGAACACACTTTTCAAAGTATGTCAATAAACGTACACATCTGGGGGTCAGAAATATAAAAATCTTCATGGAAATTCACACACATCAGCTGCACATAATAAGATTTTTTTGTTTCCTAAACAAGACAAAACATGTTAGAACAGATGGCAAGAAATGAAAATCACAATCCACGTTACTAAAGTTGTATGCAAAACACACCCCTCCACTCTCTAAAACAAACTTCCATAATGTAGTCTCTGCTCTAAACTCATCAAAAGAAATCACTTTATCCATTAGCAGTATTATGAATCAAATGTGGCCTCGTGCATTATGTGGCCGCATCGAAGTGGTATGGCCATGTTTCAGCCCACCTAGGCTGGCATACCTTACATGCCTGCCTGGGCGGCACATTGGCCACATAGGTAGGCGGCACATTGGCCCCATTGGCTGCAGCATATGTGACAAGGCAATGACCTTATCAAACTGCCTTGATCATGGGTTAGTTTCATTCCTTTTCCCCTAAAAAAAAGGGACAAAAAGGTTCCCCAAAACCTTAGAACAATTTTGGTTTTGTTCCGAGGGAATTAAATCCGACCTGTTGAAAATCAATTTCTTTTTCCAATTTCAAATTTATGAACAAAAGTTGGATTTTTCCAGCAAGTTTCAGTCGATTTGGTTTTCATCTTGATAGGATTTTGATCCCACAATATCAACTAAATCACTCATCAAGGGTTTGAAGGTGATTCATGGAACAAAGAAACTAAAATTTATAACATTAGGTTTTGATTGTACTTGCGATGTACTTAGTATTTGGCTATACGCTACAGTTACTTCTTTTATATTTCCTTCACTACATAGTGCTCTTGTTTCTTAAGTGCTTGGTATATTTATGTTCTTTTGTTTTTTGTTCAAGTTGATGGATGGATTGGATGGCATAGTATTTTTTGATAATTGTTAACATTGTATTACTAAAGAGAGTCCGGGATTACAAAAAGTGTAGGACTGAAAGCACCCTCACTGGGTAGCAATCAGTAAAAAATACATCAGTCGATTACATGCACATGGGCTTATAAGATTCGCCCTACAGTCAAGATTTACAGAGAGAAGAAAGAAAGAAATTAAGTGAAAAAAAGAAAGGCCAAAACAGTGGCTGACGCGCTGGAAGGTGGGCTATCTTGAGAGGCTGTGGTCCATAACAAAAAAAGAGTTGGACGTGGCCTGGATGTTAGTGTGTAGGCTAGCTCCCTCCTTCGCCAAAATGTCCGCGAGATCGTTGAAGGTCTTCCAGATATGCTGCCATGAGACATTCGTATCCCTACAAAGGTGGGTAATTTCATCAAAAATGGAAGACAAATACCAGGGTGGGGGGGATAAACCGCCGGCCCAAGAGATGGTGTTCAGGGAGTCTCCTTCCACAATCAGACGATTGCCCCAGGACGGGTCACAAAATCTCAACCCCAGAAGAAGGGCCGAAGCTTCAGTATATTGGGAGTCAAAGGTCCCAAGGTGCACAGAGAAGGTGAGGAGAACATTTCACTAACAGTCTCTGAATGCCCCCTCAGCGCCTGAAGGGCCTGGGTTACCTAAAGAGCAGCCATCAAAGTTTAACTTGATGCTGCCTTCAGGTAGATGCTTCCAGTTGCTTGCTCTTGAGGGTTTTGGGGGCTTGTGGATGGGGCCATTTTTCCAGTGGCAGAGAAGGGTGTTCCTAGAAAGGCCAGAGAAGGTCTTGTGATTGGAAGCCCAAAAGGTCGTCAGCGAGACCACCTAGTTGAATGGAGCTTGTATAGTAAGGCGGGCACCGTTGAAAATACAGTTGTTCCTTTCAAGCCATAAGGTCCAAATGGTTGCGGCCACCGCGGCCTTTCAGAGGGTTTTTCCCGCCAAAGGCCACTGGGCTTCGAAGTTAAAGGAGATCAAGGCTCGGACCGTGGGTGGCGAGACCCATTGGATACCAAATAATTGAAGCAAGAGTGACCAGAGATTATGGGAGAAATCACAATGAATGAAAATGTGAGGGTTGGATTCCTCCTCACAAAGACAGAGGGCGTATATATTGAGGGCTCTCTGAGAGCATGCGATCCAATTGCAAAACTGAATTTTAGGGGGGGCAATGGTGGACCATACTCTTGACGAGGTAGAAGTGGGGTTAAGGGGAAAGGTTGGGGATTGGGTAAGATTCTTGTAGAAAGAAGTGACGGTAAAAAGACAAGAGGGGGAAAGGCACCAGACAAGACTATCACTCCCAAAAAGCGGGACGAAGTGGGAAGAAAGGACACCCAAAAGTTGTTGAAACAGCGAGCTTTCTTCTTCCGAGAGGTTTCTAAGGAAGGAGGGAGTTCAGGTTCTCCGTCCCCCTGAGAGAGGCAATTCGCCGGCGATTGAAGAGTTAGTTATGGAAGAGAGAGAGAAAAGGGTGGGGAAGGCCTTGCACAAAGGGGAGCTACCAAGCCAGAGATCAGTCCAAAACTTGACCCTACGACCATCTCGGGCATGGAATCTAAGGTGGCTTCTGAACTGAAGCAGAGAAGAGGCTAATGACAGCCACACCCCTGAAGCCCTATGTCTCTGTATTCTCTCTGGCACCTACGTACCATCTTGAATTCGGTATTTGCTGCGTAGCACCTGGGCCCAAAATGAATCTGGTTGAGTGGCTAGCCGCCACCACCATTTGCTTAAGAGGGCAGTGTTTTGATTTCTGAGCGTCCGAATGCCAAGACCCCCTTGCTTTCTAGGTAGGCAAACAGTGTCCCAGGCAACTAGGTGAAACTTGATCTTCTCTGCCTGTCCCGACCAGAGAAAATTATGCATAAGTTGTTCTATGCAGTTAGACACGTGTACTGGCATCTGAAACAGGGACATGAAGTAGATTGGGATGTTTGCCATGGTCGCTTTGATGAGTGTAACTCTTCCTGTAGGCGAGAGGTATCAACCTTTCCAAGTTGCCAAGCGTCTCTCTACCTTATCTAAGACTTGAGACCAAAGTCTCTTTTTGGGTTTCCCCAATCCCAGAGGGAGGCCCAGGTAAGTGGAAGGAAGGTCTTCCACTAAACATTCCCAGTCGGAGATGAGCGTAGCAACTTCTGCTTTTGGCATGGCTACTCCCATCATTTTAGATTTCAGCATGTTAACCTTGAACCCCGTAGCTTTCTGAAAGCACAGGAGGAAGAGTTTGAGTGTGTCAAGTTCTTCTCGGGAGGCGTCAAGGAAGATGAGGGTATCATCTGCGTATTGCAGGTGTGATACCATGAGGCCCTATGAAGTGGTAGAGAAGCCTAAGAGTAGACCAGACTAGTAAAGGCGGGAGAGGGATCTAGAGAAAACTTCCGCTGCAATGGCAAAGAGGAATGGGGAGAGATGGCCCCCTTGTCAGAGTCCCCTGTTGGCAGGGAAGAAACCTTTCGGAGACCCATTTATGAGGATGGACAGATAGGGATGAGAGTGACAACCTCTCATCCAATTCCTCCATCGATTATTGAAACCCATTCTCCCCATGGTTTTGTCCAAGATGGACCAGTCAACGTGGTCGTAGGCTTTTTCCCAGTCAATTTTGAAAATGAATCCCGGTGTCTTAGCTAAGTGTCTGGAGTGAAGGCACTCGCTGACTACTAGGACCCCATCCAGAATCTGTCTGTTTTGAATGAAGGCGGATTGAGAGGGAGAGATAACCATGGGGAGGACAAGCTTGAGTCTAGAGGCTAGGACCTTTGCAAGGATTTTGTAAGAAGAGTTTAGAAGGCTGATAGGGAGAAAATCCTTGATCTCCTCTGCCCCTTGAACTTTGGGAACTAAGGCAATAAAGGTGGCGTTAAGAGCTTTATGGATGATTCCTCTAAGGAAAAATTCTTCGAAAAAATCCAAGAAGTCAATTCTGAAAGTGCTCCAGAAAGTTTGGAAGGGTGCAATCGGAAAGCCATCAGGTCCAAGGGCTGTGTCACTGGCAAGGGCTTTAATAGCTAGTAAGATTTCAGCTTCGGAGAAGGAAGCTCTAAAGAGGCAGCTAAATCATCTGAGAGAGGTAGGAAATCAAGGTCGGCCATCCTAGGCCCGGGGTCAGCCGGGGCAGAGTATAAGGTTTGGGAAAAAACTAGAATGGCCTGCCCGATTTGTGCTGGTTGGTCCAGAAGACAGTTGTTAAGTTTGAGAGTCAGAACAGAGTTGTCCCTTCTGCGACAGTTGGCAATGCGGTGGAAGAAAGCAGTGTTGGAGTCTCCGACTTTTAACCACTTGATTCGAGAACTCTGGTGCCAAAAGATCTCTTCTTTTTTTAGGGTAGCCAGGTAGTCTAGTTTGGTTTGAGCTCTGAGGTCAAGTTCCGAGGTGTCTAAGGCTCTTGTTTCTTCAATGAGGTCGAGGCTATGGATAGAGTCCAAGAGGAGAGATTTGGTCTTGAAGTAATTGCCAGGAAGGGTTTTGCTTCAGGTTTTGAGGGAATTTGTTAGGAGTTGGATCTTGGTTTGTAGCCTGCACCCTGCTCTTCCCCTAACCTGAGGTGAGAAGGAGGACCACCAAGTAGGTAATAAAGAAACAAGGGATGTCTCTTGCAACCAAGCCAGTTCAAACCGGAAGGGTTTAGGCCCTCTTTGTACAGCATTTGTATCCAAAAGCATTGGACAATGGTCAAACACAGGTTTGGGTAAGGCAAGGGCCATGGAACTAGGGACAAATTCCTCCCAGCTGGTGGAGAAGAGAAAACGATCGAGTTTAGAAAGGGTGGGATTGGGAGAGTGGTTGGACCAGGTGAATAGGCTGCCTTGGAGAGGGATATCGATGAGTTCATTCCTA